CTCTTACCTTTCCAAAACATCTGGTACTCTTCTGTGAATGCCCAGGGACCTACTCCAAATAATAATTTTATTGTAGTCGTAATCCTAGCTATGTGTAAGCTTAAAAATGAATAAACACTTCATTATACACAAAGGCCTTGAAAAGAGAAGGTTGAAAAAAAGCAAGCCCGATATTAGAAATATTCCTGTTTTATTAGTCTAGTGAAAAGAAGGACCAGGGGAAACGTGATAGCGGTGTTCCAATATTTGAAGGGCTGCCACAAAGAAGAGGGAGTCAACCTATTCTCCAAAGGACCTGAAAGTGAGACAAGAAACAATAGATGGAAACTAATTGAGAAGAGATGCAACCTAGAACTAAGGAGAAATTTCTTGACAGTGAGAACTGTTAACCAGTGGAACAGCGTGCCTTCAGAAGTTATGGGTGATCCATCACTGGAGGCTTTTAAAAAGAGTCTGAATAGCCAGCCATCTGTCTGAAATGTATAGCGTCTCCTCCTTGAGAAGAGAGTTGGACTAGAACAGTGGTGGCTAACCTTTTTGGCACGGAGTGCCGAAACAGGAGCGAGCGCGCCGGGAACCAGAAGAGCAGCTCCCCAACACATGCGGGGAGCACTGGAAACTGGAAGCTTAGCTTCCCAGCGCACGCATGTGCACCAGCCACCTGGCCTTCCAGTTTACAAAGACACAAAGACCAGCTGGCTGGCACGCATGTGCACACCAAAACCCAGAAGAGCAACGGGCAGCGGCTGGTGTTCCCGGAGAGAGATGGCTCTACATGCCACTTCTACCACATGTGGCGTAGGTTTGCCATCATGGGACTAGAAGATTTCCAAAGTCCCTTCCAACTCTGATATTCTGTGGTCTACATTCCTGCTTGCAGATACGCAACTCCAACTATATTATGGGACAAAGCAGACACAGATGGAAAAAGGAATATGGATACAGGAAAGGGAAATTGTGGTTTGAGAAATTACTGTTATATACAATGTATGAATGTATGGGAAAGATTTGCTTGAATTGCTGGACAAAACCCCTTATAAAACGGCTGATTAATGTAACTGTAAATTGCTAACTGGGGCAAAATAACCCCTTACAGGATGCTAACAAAGGAGCGTGACTTAATGCTTCTTGTCCATTATAAAAATTGTGGACAGAAAGGTGAGAGACACACAGGTTTTGGGAGAGATCTTGTATCCTTTCTTCTGCACAAAATAGAAGTTTTTTTTTCAGTCTCCACCCTGGTGTGTTCTTCATTGGGCTTTCATACACTGGACACTAATCCAGGATTATGACTTCTATATGGCCACACAACTCAAAGCAATGTGACTCTGGGCAGAGTAGAATTTGTTTAAAATGCCAGCTAAGCTGTAATAGGTGGGGTTCACCTATTCCTTCAAACCAATATTGTGGCTTCATGCAAAGACTGAAACCAGTCACAACATAACCCATTGCCCAATATCTATTATTATTTTTATTTATAAAATAATTATTTTTATTTATTAAATTGGTTTGCCACCCAGGTGACTTTGTGCAGTTTGCAAATTGTGCAGAAGATATACCTGTCTATTGATGTGGGTTATGTTGTGGCTGATTTCAAACTTTGCGTGAAGCCACAATATTGGTTTGATTTTGGTTCGGTGGCTTAATTCTGAACGAGATCTTGATGACTTTTCCATCAAGCTTTAAAAAAATCTTGACTTAATTGGATGCATAAATCTAGACGACGTGTCCAAGTGTGATCATTATTAAGGGCATTTTGGCATCATTTACTGTAAATTTTTGTGTACTGTATATTCACTGAATAAAACCTGGAATGCTTTGAAGCAGATCTACTTCTGTAGTGCCCTTACATATCTATTGAATCCCTTCTACCAGCCTAATAAGTTTCTCTCTAAAGCAAAGTGGGGGGGGGGGGGGGGGAATGGGACAGAGAGAGAATCTGTCATTGCTCACATGCCAGAGATTATAGTGGTTGGGAAGCAGTTTGCCAGCAGCCCAGCTTTAGTGGTAATGATGAGGTTTGCTTTTGTTCTTTTGGGTCTTATTTAATCAGCTTGACTTGTTTCTGATTTTTTCCTATCAGTGTGTTTCATCCTGTGGCTTTTATGCCCCGGTTCCCAGCTGCAGGAAACCTTGTTAAAATTGCCTTCTTCAAACACAAGCGCCTGCTTGCATTCCCCAGAGTTTGTAATATGTATGGATGGGGAAGAAATCCAGGCGAAATGAGAAGGGGGTTAGCAAAGGATTTCTGTTCCTGTGTATTTTATAATTCATTGCATAGCTAAGCTAAAGAATACATTTTCACTAACAAGGTCTTGAGCAGAATCTATATAGAAAGGGTATTCAGGATGACATGAAGAGATTGGACCTGAACCCCTTGTATGTTCCTTCTGCATGTTTAAACATGCTTCTTGCTACTTTGCTTTAAATCCCGACAGCCTTCACGAGGATTCTCTTAAACTCAAATGTCATCTAATTTTGCATCACATCTTAATCAACAGCACAACCACAATACATGGCATTAAAAAAACCTGATATATGTGTACATATGGATGTGTATTCAGTGTACTTTAAAATACATTCTTTTTACTGAAGTAGCTCATACATTCTGATATTTTATTTAACTTCTGGAATTGAGAATGCAGCAATGTTAACACCATAGTCGGTTTTCCCTTTGTGTTGTCATGTTTAATAAAACTTTACTATCTCCCCCTTTTGGGGGGGCGGGGTTGGAGCTGTCAGTGCCATTTAGAATTTATGCAGATCCCAATTAAAAGCTAAAAATAAGACTAAAACATTTAGAGCAGATGGGAGATTAAAGGATTTGAGTAAATAAAAATGTATTTGCTTAATTCCAAAAAACGACAGAGGCTTTCCAGGGTTCCTGGAAGAGATCTTAATGTCTGACGTTGGATGAAATTGTTGGTTAGAATGAGTCCTACCTTTTATTAAAGGAGGGGAACTTGCCTCAGGCAGCAGATTCTGGGAAGTAGTGAAGGTGATGTATTATAGGATGCTACTTTCAAGAAGTGAGAGTAAGTTTGGTTACTGCAAGGCACCAGGTAGGGAAACTTGAGTTCTAGTCCTACCTTGGGCACAAAAGCCAGCTGGATGACTTTAGGGCAGTCAGTCTTCTTCAGCCTGGCTCACCTCACAGTGTTGTTGTTTGGGGGAGGAAGAGGAAGGAGTGTTAGGTGTCTTTTGCCTTGAGTTATCAATAAGAGGGGGGCGGGGTTTGCCTACACATACATACACACGCTGCCCCATCAGCAGCACTGGAGAAAGATGTGGTTGCCATGTGCACATACTGCCTTTTATCTCACTCAGATTTACATTTATATGTAGATCTAGTCTATTATTATAACAACACGGTGTAGTGTAGCGTAATGTAATGTAACATCATACACCTCTGTCTTCGGCTTTTGTTTGACACTGAGATATATAATCCTTCAGAATCAGCAATAATATGAGAAATACAGAAAAGGGGTAAAGAATAGTAAGCCAGAGAAATTAAATGTATGAAATAGGGGAAAAAAAGAAAAGGAAATAGAACTAAACATTTTTACAGCAATGGTATTCATTATAATTTACCATGCTATTCCTAAGTATTTTTACCAATCATACTTGCTTTCCCCATGTCCCTACACCACTTTGTATGCCTTTTGTTCTTTCAGCTTCTCATTTTTCTTTTTCAGAATCTCATCAACAATTTTCAGTCTTGAATTTTTCAATTGTCCTTCCTCGATCAATTACTTTTCTTTCGTATATCTGTTTGATGATTTGATCTTCATTCATTCAGCCATTGTGTACAACCAAACCACTCCAGTGGATTTCTTTCATACCAGTCACTCGTATATTCAATCAGTATTCACATAGTACTAATTCATTTTGTAGTTCAATTCCGCACAATTCTATGACACTCTGTAGCCTGATTATAATCATTCTTTTCCAAGCAGCTTCCACCTCTTTTTTTGTATCCACTTTCCACTCATTTTGTTGGGAGATTTATCTACTGACTTCTTTCAAACCAGGAAAAATTATCTTTCTGAAATTGCTGTACATTCACCCTTGTTTATTTCACTTCTTTCTCCTTCTTCCATGTCTTTTTTCCCCCAAGATCCCTTTTTTTTTGTCATTTTGAATTTCAGAGCAGCTATTCTGTAATATTAGTAGATCCTTTTGCAACATAGAATGAGCTATCTGCACTAAAATAAATACTAAAATAGTATCTTTGTAGAATATATATTTCACAATGTAAACCTGTGTAGTGTGAAATGATTTTCTGGTATCTCTCATTTTGAGAGACTTAAATGCCGAGAATAAATGAGTTTCCTCTACACTCACCATCTGACCCTTTTGTAGAGAGAGGAGGCAATATATTTTGGCTGGAAAATGACAGAAGGAGAAATCCAATAAAATAAAGCTGTGAGGAAGGGAGATTCCCTCAGAAAGTGCCCTGCAATGCAGTTGTTGTGAAGAAGTGTTAGTTCATGAGTTAGTTGCAATTATGCATAAAAAAAGAAGGGCCAAAAGAAAACAAATCTTCGCATTAGCATTTCCCCTGCTTATTTGGTAGTATAGGTGATGAAGAACGCATTAGATGTGTCTGGCATTGTGATTTTTCAGAAGTTAAATTTTGAGCGAGATTTACTACGGTAGAATGGATTGCAGCAAAAGCAATATTCTTTTTCAGTACTCTTCCATATGATACGTTCCCTCAAATTTAAAAAAAATAACTGGCACAGTAGAGGGAGAAACCATCCTTCTTCATTTGAAGAGATTTGACATACTTTTACCATGCCAAGGCTCTGCTCCAGCTTGTAATGCTGTAGGAGTGCATTCCATTATAAAGCAATGGTTGAGGAAGTCTGGGAGTTGAAGTCCACACATCTTCAAGGGACCAAGGTTGAGAAACATTGATCTAACCTATTTGCTATTGCAGACAGGCCATAGACCAGTCTATTCTGTTCTTAATATTATGGATTCTATCTCATCTCTAGATTCTTCACCTGAAGCCCAGCCCAAATACATCAAGGATGGAAAGCGCTATGGGAGGCGATCCTTACCAGAGTTTCAGCAATCTGTGGAGGAATTTGCAGAGGTGACCGTGATTGAGCCTTTGAACAAGGATGCCCTCTCCTCCCGCCTCTCCAACAATGACTGTGATGAGGTAAGGATTTAAAAGCAAGCCAAGAAGATGAGGAGAAGGGATGTTGGAGCTGAGATTGAAAATCCTTCGGTGTGCATGTATGGAAAGCATTTTAATGTTTCTTTCAAGAATTATGATATTTTAAGATATGTGGACTTCAGTTCCCAGAATTCACTAGCCAGAATGCATAAGTTCAAAGTTTCTGAAGTTGAAAAACACTGCTGTGGACAATGGTATGAAAGTTTTGCTTCCTCAAGTCCATACCTTCCTACTGCAGCTTATTATAGTTTCTGGCTTTATAGGCACCATGGAAAAGCGCATTGAAAAAAACTTTTTAAAAGGAATTAAAAATGAAGCAGAAAATGCAAAATGTAGAGAAACTTAAGTTGAACTAAAACAACATAATTATGCTGCATCTTACATCGACAGGTTACAGTGGCGCAGGTCTGCAAGAGGCACAGTTATACTCTTGAGAAAAGAATATTGTGTTAGGGCTGTGCAAATCTGGGAGGGTTGCTTTGATTCATAGTCTGATTAGACTTGCAGGTGACCTAAGAGATCCTCAAGTACAATTTCCTGCACACTGCAGGATACACTACATTATTGCTGATAAATGGCTATCTAGCTGTTTAAAACCCTATAGTGAAGGAAAGAAACCACTTCCTGCAATAACTGTTCCACTGATTGACTGTTCTTAATGTCAAGACATTTGTCCTTGTATCTAAATTGCATCTACATCCTTGAAATTTCATCCCATTAGTTCTACTCTTGCCCTCTGTAGCTAATAAGAATATTCAAAATAATATAAAATGACTTCCCTTAGATATTTGAAAGCTGGTAGCATATTCTTCTCAATGTTCTCATCTCAAGAAAACATATCTAGATCTTTTAACATATCTACATTCCTCATAGGGCTTAATTTCCAGTTCTTTCATCATTGTGGTAGCTTTCTATTGACTTGGTCAAGTTTATCTGCTTTTTAAGTAAGAGTGTGAAGAACTGAATGCACTGTTCCAAGTAAGGCTTGATTAAGCAGAATTGGGTGGGATAATTACTTCCTATGACTGGATTCTATGCTTCTCTTGATGTTCTTCAACATGTCGTTGAACCTCTTTGCAGTTGCATTACATTGTTGGACATGTTGAGCTTGTGATCTGTTAGTACACCCACATCCTTCTCATGTGTGGTGTTCTTAAGCCACATTTTCCTGTATAAATTTCTTTCATTTTTCTAAGCTTGCCTAGATGCTAAATTTCATTTGATTTGTTTCTACTCATCGTTCTAGCCTAAGTTTTGAATTATTTCCTCTCCTCCCTAAACTCCTTCTGTGGAGTTTTGAGCAAAGGATCCTACAAACACGCATGTTCACATACTTTTCCATGAACCATATTTAAAGTTAAGCAATCTGTCACTAGATCTTAACCTGGTTAAGCAATTAAGTTAAGAACCAATTACTGCTTCCCTTGCCACATTTTTTGGCCCCACTTGGCTCCCCAAACTTCTGTTGCCCCTAACACATGACTTTCTTAATGAAGAGACTCCTGTAGGAAGAATCCAGAAGCATTTGCTTCATCTCTGGTCCGCAAGAAGCCTATTTCATTTGGCTAGAGGGGAAAACCAAGTTTTCAGTGCAAATACAGATTTGCCCAAGGATGTCATCCGTTCCCCAGTGGTAGGGGGAGAATTGATCCTTTGGGCTGTACTTCCATTCCTGCTTGAGGTTCATGTACAACAGGAATGTGATGCTCATTAATGAAAAGAGATTCTGGAAGGAACTTTTTGAATTGGAAGCTACATTTCTGATCCTAGCAGTTCTCTCACTCTCTCTCTGGGTAGATAGACATTATCACATATATTTTAATTCATGTGTGCGTACAAGCATATATACACAATCTTTCTGATAAAGATGATGCAGTCATGCTACCTGAGACTTCCTAATAGTCCCTGAGATTCATTTTGGAGTATATTCAGTCATAGAATTCCTCCAAATATTCCCTTTCTCTTCTACTATCTCTTTGCCATAATAGACAGAAGAATCATAAATGAATTATGGCTATAACTTGACCCCCCTTTGCTTGTGGAAGCTGTATAGAATTGATAAGGAAAATGTGTTCATTTACTAAGTCATATCTGACTCTTCACAACCCCTTGACAGCCCCTCCCCTGTCCTCACTGTCTTCCAGAGTTTGCTCAAATTCATGTTCATTGCATCAGTGACACTATCAAACTATCACATCCTCTGCTGTCTCCTTCTGCTGATGACAAAAAGGTAAACTGGTAAATGCATCAACAGGCAATCAACAGTTAGAAAAAACTAGTACCGGAATTGCTATCTGAAGTCTTGTTCTACTCCTGGGTACCTCCAAAATTCAAGGAGGATGAGCACTCCCAAAATGGTGGCAAATATGAATGGAGCTGTGGCCTAGGACAATTACTAGTGGCTTTTAAACTTATGGTGAATTTCTTCTTGCTTATTTGTGCTTATCCCTTGCCTCAAAATGGAATGCAGTCCCAGTCTTAACTTGCAAAGAACATCCAGAGGGGACAGAAGCAAACGAAGAGAATTCTTAGTGCATTCAGAGTAAAATTTATTAGCTGCCAAGTGTGAACTGCTGGAACTGTGCATGGACCAAGAGCTACAGTTAGTAATCTCTTTGATAACTATGGGAAAGGTTATCTTTGGACAAAGTCCAGAGTTGTAACCACTGAGCAACTTATGCAACTTTAGGAAAGACAAAGTTGAGCCAAAAGAATATTCCGTAAATACTTTTCAGCCCAAGTACTAAGTTGCTGCAGTTGAATCATAAGTAAGTCTGATGTCCCAGTGAAGATACTGAACTAGGTTTGAGGAGATCCATGGTCTCCTCATGGTCATGGAAAGTTACTATAAGATTTAGGACTAGACACTCTTTCTCAGCCAACCTACCTGAAAGGATTGTTCTGGAGAAAAACCTGGAAGATAGAATGCACTATATGCTTTGAGTTTCTGGGAGAAAATTGGCTACACACATCAAGCAAATAATAAACCTAACAAATAGAAGAGTAAGAGAAGGAAATAAATGGTGGGATTTTCTTTTTACAAGCCTATCCATCCATCGTGGAGTTGAAAAGAGCCATTAGGGCATTGAGAAACCCTTGCTCAGTGCAGGAATCTGTATTACAGCATCCTTAACAGATGAGTGCCTGGTTTCCACTTGAACACACTCATCATCTTTCTGGATAATTGGGTCCATTGTCAAACTGTTCTGATCATTAGGATTTTTTCCCTAAATGTTTGCAGATCTCTCTCTCCTCTTTCTCTCTCTCTCCCCCCTCCCTCCTCCTCCTCTATTTCTCCCTATCTCAGCAATCACCTGTGGAAACATGTCTTCTAGAATTAGCACAAGGTCTAACTGTCCTAGGACTGCAGTGGTCAGACAGATGTCACTGGGAAAGCCTGACAAGATGATTCAGTGCACAATACTATGCCTCTGCTTGTTTGCTCTAAGATCCAGCAACCTAAAAAATTCAATCTCTAATTATAAGATTTGGCATAGCAATTAGACTATTTGAATAGATTTGCACAACATGTTTAATTGGTTGTTGGACTGATCTATTGTATGTGTTGGCACAATACTTTCCACAGGCTCATATGCTAACCAAATGGGCTGAGTATGCATAATATGCAAAACCCACCCCCCAAACTAATCTTGTTTCAAGATAATTTGATGTAGTATGTTGGGCAAATGCAGCTTTTAAACTGTTAATTTTGCTGAATGTGGGGATAGTAATTTTTTTTTTGCTTGGTTTAAGACATTGGGAGATTGGTGTCCTATGGTTGTAAAATAGGAGTATAAGACAGCTGGACATCTTTGTCTAGATTCAGAAATTAAGCAAGATCAGCCTGCTTAATACTTGAGTGGAACATCAACAGAGAAGCCCAGGGCTATTTTTTTTAATGCAATAGGGGCCGAGCTTCATTTAAAGACACTTTGCCTTTTTATCATTGTAAAAAGCTGCACACATTTCACATTATTGTGATTGCTGAGGGCATCTGGAGTATATCTCCATAACAGGTTCATTACAAAATAAATAATCCAAGTTAAACGTAGGCTTTTTGACCCTGTAGCTAAGCATAGGCCTTTTGACTACAAGGACTTAAAGAACTCCTGTTTTCCTGACCAATCCGAGATGGGGAGTGAGATAACTGCTTTTTTTTCTTTTCCTTTGGAGACGGCCATAAACAATGGCTTCATTTAGCTAGGGATTAACAACCCCTCTCAAAGGAAGATGTGACTCAAGGTCAGCGTGCATCAAGAATGGTCACTCAATATATCAAAATGCAAAATATCCGTATGTCTGAGGAAATTTTCCAAATCAGCAAGAATTATATTTTGCTAAAGTGCAGTGCGACCAAGAGACGTTGATGCATTTTACATCAAGTGGGCATGATTTAAGTCTCTTGTGTCACAGAGTCTAACATCTGAGGGCTTGGACATCACGAAATAGCAGCATGGTATCTGGGCACTTGATCGTTTTAATTAATGATATATTCTGGGAGAGAAGAAAAGGCTGTCATGCGGTAGCAGATGGCCGGGTGGAAGAAGGAACTCTGAAAGAAGGGAGGAAAGATTGCATTAAGGAATTCTCAACCACAGATGCTTCTGTAGGTTTTGAGTATGGTCATTGTGAAACTTTCAGCCATCTGTTCTTTGGGCTAGCAAAGGCTTGGGTCTATCAAAGTAATATATTCCTGGAATCTCACATGGGCAAGGACTTCCCCCCTCCCTAATGTGTGTGACCCTCATCCAGCTGCAGAACAATAGCTGTCTGTACAAGAGTACCTGGCAAGGCTGGGGGAGGAGAAGGTTTATGGTCCACAGAATCCATAGAAAGTGTCCCCTTTTGTCTTAGCTGCAATCTGTTGCCTTGCCTTTGGGGGCAGCCATTTTGGGTTTAGTGACCTCTGACCTCATTTGCCTTCCCTTCACAATGAAGCTCTTGTTGAGCATCGGGTATGGTAATGAGGAAGCGTGTGTGCA